CAGATTTTTCGAAGGCTGTTGATATATTTATATAATCATGTAGCTTTTATTCTTTCTATTTCTGCTTTTGCTACTATCTGCTGATTTGACTTTGATGAAGCATCTCCACGTTCCTGGATTGAAATCATATAGACCACATTCTGTAAGCTTTTGAATATGCCCCTTAATTAAGTTTGCAAGAATTTACAGAAAAACACTGCATTAAGATTCACTTCACTGCTTTCTTTCTGGTTGAGTCACTACACAGTTTGAGATCAAGGTGATACTGGACTTGTAGGCTGAATCTGGAAGGTTTCCTTCTATTTCTATTTCATGGAACGCTTTGAGGAGCACTTGTGTTAGTTCTTTAAAGAAGTAGTACACTTCAGCAGACTGAGTCTCAGCTTGGGTGCTTCCTGATTCCCTGCCGAGCAGTGGCTGCTGCACCCAGGGGACACCAAGGACGGGGGGGATTCTGCTCTGCGGTGCTGCTACCTGGATACTGGGAGGCTTCTCAGCGTGGTGTCCAGGACGTGCAGGGTGCACATCTCCAGCGACATGTCTGAAATGCCTCCCCTACAGCTTGGCACACAGCTCTCAACTCTCTCTCTCTCTCTCTCTCTCTCTCTCTCTCTCTCTCTCTCTCTCTCCCTATGTGTCTGCTGGCTTAGTCTGTTGCATTGCAGTGTGCTAAGACTCTCTTCCCAGCCTCCTGGAAAAAAGTTCACCACGCCACTGAAGTACCGTACATCCAGATACATTCAGCGTTGACGCTCTCTGCTTTCCTTCTTTCTTATTAATTGAAATAGCAGCACTTCTGGGCACTTACGTGTTCCCTGACATCTTTCTAGTTGATGCCACCCCTGTTTATGTCTGCCTTCCTCACAGATTGCCACATGCTTACTGGTTTACATGAAACACCTGGAGCAGCTTGTGTGCGCTGGTTTCTTGATGCCCCCCAGGATGACATCTCTGAAAGGAAAATGTCTTATAATATGGGGAAGAGAAAGTGCAGAGGCGAGTAGAAATCAGGTTATAGTGATTAAAATGAGCCACTGGAATTTTAAAGTTTTCCTTAGACTCTTCTTGAGTTTCAATACTCTACTTTTTATTTTGGTGTAGCTCACAGTTACTGGTGCTCACAAATCATGGAAATGCAAGCTCTTATTCCTCTTCTACTTCACTGTATTGTTGCACAGAAAAGCTGATAATTTACTGCAGTAAGTTTAAGGGAAACTTAAAGTATTATTTGATTCTATCATCTTATTCTGGGACTGAGCTGTATCTGGCAGGTACTACATTATAAGGAAAGAGAAGAAAAGAAGATGAGCGGAGAATCTAAGAAAGCAAAACAACGCTGTACTTCAGGGAAAAGCCGACTTTGTCCTCTGTTCCCAAGGGAGAGAATCCACTGCAAACAAATCTCTAGCAGCGCAGTCTCCTCTGGGACACTTGGGGCTCTGTGCCTGCCTAGAGTCCCTGAAATGAGCCAGCCGTGCAGCTGTGCCCACCTTGCCCAGCCCTGCCTATTTGCATGTGCCCAGAGCCCAGCCCAGCCCTGAGAACTTCTTCATAGGCTGCACACACCATGAGCAGGAGTCGGTCCCAGTCAGGACACAGCATGGCCATGTGGGTCCCCGCTCAGCTCCTGGGGCTTTTGCTGCTCTGGCTGCCAGGTAAAGAGGGGCAGTCCTGGGGATTTCCTCAGTGCTACATAGTCAGAGCAGGATCTTTCAGGAGGTTTTCACAGCATGATTAATCATGTAAATACTTGTTTTTATGTTTCCACTGTCAGGTGGCAGAGGTGACATCCAGTTGACCCAGGCTCCGTCAGTGTCTGCATCCTTAGGAGAGAGCGTCACCATCACTTGTCGAGCCAGCCAGGGTATTAGTGTTAGTTTACACTGGTTTCAGCAGCAACCAGGGCAAGCTCCTAAGCTCCTAATTGCTTATACAAACCAATTGCCATCTGGGGTCCCTTCAAGGTTCAGCGGCAGTGGGTCTGGGACAGATTTCACTCTCACCATCAACGGCCTGGAGTCTGAAGATCTTGCCACTTATTACTGTCTACAGACTAGCAGATTCCCTCCCACAGTGATACACGCCATGACATAAGCCTCCTACTGAAGCAGAAGTGCGAGGTTGAGTCGCCTCAGCATTGCTTTCTGGTGCATGCAACTGATAGAAGTATCTTTCAGATGCAGCCAGGATTTGAAGGCCCTTTGAAGGTTCTAGATTAAGGGGTCAGTCAGGGTCCTTGCCCCTTACCTCTCTTTCCCCCTCTATAGCTCTAGGCACACAGACAAGATCATGGCTTTACAAATGTAATACAGGACACAAATCATTAAACTTTAGCAGTATGGTGTAGATCAAGACTGGAGATTTGTACAGCACAAGGCAAGCAATGGTAGCTATACAATCAGAACTATAAAGTCACATACATATAGTGAGAATTTTAAATCCTTTCATTGATCAGATGGATGCTATTGAAAAGTATATATAAAGAAATAAAGCAGAAAACACAGAGTGAACTGAACATGGTGCTGCCCGCCTGGAACAAGAATGCTCACTGTCACCACTCCTGTTCAGTGCAGTTCTGGAAGCATTACCCCGGGGAATTAGACAAGAGAAAAAATAAAAGGAATAAGGATTGGAAAGGAAGAAGTGGAACAACCATTATGTGCAGATGACACAATTCTGTATATAGAAGACCCCCCAAAACTCCCCTAAGAGACTTGTAGATTCAATAATCAAGTTTAGTAGCATGGAATGATACAAAGCCAACTCTCAAAAATCAATAGCATTTTTATACATAAACATCTAACAAACTGAGAGAGAATTTATGCAAACCAAGCTTTTCATGATAACACTCACAAAATGAAATTCTTTGGAATCAACCTCAAAAAGGAACTAAAAGTGTCATATTATGAAAATTATAGTACTCTGAGGAAAGAGATCCAGAAGGAGTTCAGAAAATGGAAATATATTTCTTGCTCTTGGATTGGAAGAACGGACAGTGTGGTACACAGTGTGAAAATGGGCATACTCCCAAAACTGTTATACAGATTCAATGCAATATCAACTAAAATGCCATTAGTATACCTCACAGATCTAGAGAAACCATTCTGAAAATGTATCTGGAACCAGAAGAGACCTAGAATAGCAAAAGAAACCCTTTGTAACAAAGGAAAGACAGGGGACATCACAATCTTTGACTTGAAATTATACTACAAAGCTAGTATGATAAAATCATCGTGGTACTGGCAAAAAAACAGACCTGAATATGAATGGTAGAGATTAGAACATGCAGGCACAACTACAAATGCATTCAGCCACCTTACATTTGACAAAGGGGCCAAACGTGTTCACTGGATGAAAGACAGCCTCGTTAACAAAGCATGCTGGAGAAACTGGCTGTCTACTTGCCAAAGCCTTAAAATAGAACCATGCCTATCACCATGCACAAAACTACAGTCAAAATTGATCAAAGATTTGAATATTAAAACTGAAATGTTACATCTTCTGGAAGAAAAAGTTGGTAGAAATCTTAAGGGTGTAGGGACAGGTAGAGTTCATGAACAAAAATCAAACTGCATGAGAAGTACTTCTAAGAATCAACAATTGGGATCACGTTCTTTTTTTTTTTTTCAAAGTTTCTGCATGTCAAAGGAAATCACCAATGAAGTAAAAAGAAAATTCATGATATGGGAAAAAAATATAGTGGACTGTCGTTCACACAAAGGACTTCTGTGTAGAATATATAAAGTATTAAAAAATATCAGGCCTCAAAAATTCAAAGACGTAATCCAAAAATTGGACATATGAAAAGAATATACACATCACAAGTGGCAAGATACAAATGGTAAATAAATATATGAAAAAGTGTTGCATATCATTGGTCATTCAAGAGATGCAAATTAAAACAACACTGAGGTACCATCTTCAGCCAGAAAGAATGGCTGTCATCAAGAAGTCAACCAATAACAGATGCTGGAGAGGCTACGGGGAGAAAGGAACTCTTCTCCGTTATTGGTAAGAGTGCAGGCTGGTGCAACCATTGTGGAATCCAGTATTGAGATTCCTCCAAAAGCTAGGATTGGAAGTACCATTCAAGCCAGCTCTTCCCCTCCTGAGTGTTTTTCCAAAAGAACTGAAATCATCATACCACAGTGATATATGTGCACCCATGTTTACAGCAGCACAATTTGTCATAGCTAAATCTTGGAAACAAACCAAATGTCCATCAACTGAGAAATGGATAAAAGAAGATATGGTATTGGGTGGCCAGATAGCTCAGCGAACTAAAATGCCTCTTTAGATGGCCAAACAAGGATCTCTGCTGACTCTCAACTTTATAAAATCATGAAACTGGAGCTGGCCAAATAGCTCAGTGGATTAAAGCACCTGCAAGCAGGTGCAGGGGCTGGGGATTCGATCCCCGGCCTGCTGTGCTGGCCCCGCCCCGCAAGGTGCACTGAGATAGTGATTGAGACTGGGCGTGGTGATGCACGCCTGTAATCCTAGCACTTGCAAGGCTGTAAACAGGCAGATCACTATGAGTCTGAGCTAGTAGTGAGACCCTGAGCACCCTGTACAGCCTTTCCTAAAATTAAAAAAAAAGCCAGATCCAAACTCTTTTTAACAAACATCCACAAAAAGAAATTATCATCAACCAATATTTATGGAATTACATCTTCACAAAAGAAAAGTATAAATATAGAAATTCCTTGAGGACTGGAGAACAGAGAAGAGGTATGAGAGGAAGCATTCAAGTGTGACCCTTGTCCTGCTGTGGCAACAGAGATTTGATCTCTCTAGTCTTTCTTAAAACGCAGTAGGTGTTTTGTCACTGCCTACATGAGAGATTTCCACCTTCCCACTTGTGTTTCCAATTCACCCTATAGATTATTTCACATCACTGCCTAAGCCAGAGGATTTCCATATTGTCCCCTAGAGAGACATCAGACATAAAAGCTCAGCTCTAGCCCTGTTTTGACTGACTGGGTGTCCTCAGTGCTGCTTCTCAGAATGAGGCTCCTTGCTGAGCTCCTGGGGCTGCTGACACTCTGTGTCCCTGGTAAGGATGGAGGAGCGGAGGAGGGCTACAAAGTGGGACGGGAGTGGGCGAGGGACCGAGCGCTCCCCATATGCATTCTGCCACTCTGGTGAGGTGCACAGGTCCTGTCCTCCAGGAGGTGGCACGTGAGTTTTAAATCTGTAAGCGAAGAAGAATCCAGAAGGAGCAAGGGTCTTTGCTTTTGTGATTATTGTTACAGAGAAAAAGGAGGCTGATATAATAGATCCTAGGCTTGCCCTCGTGGCAGACAAATCCTAAGTTCTTTCTAAAATTATGTATTTTGGTGTATAATTCAGTGATAGAAATTTAATAAATTAAAATATATAGCAAATGGAAATAATGAAACCTAGCCATGAGACGTAGTTTTAATCTTATGCTTCTCTGTCACAACTCCAGGATCTGTGGGGAACGCTGTGCTGACCCAGAGTCCAGGCTCCCTGTCCGTCACCCCTGGAGAGTCGGTCTCCATCTCCTGCAGGTCCAGTAAGAGCCTCCTCCAGACTGACAGGTTCACCTATTTGAGTTGGTTCCTGCAGAAACCAGGCCGGCCTCCCAAGCGGCTGATGTACGTAGTCTCTCGACGGGATCCTGGGAGCCCAGACAGGTTCAGCGGCAGTGGCTCAGAGACGGATTTCACTCTGCAGATCAGCAGTGTGGCTGTGGGGGACGCTGGCATTTACTACTGCCAGCAGCTCACACACTTTCCTCCCACAATGCTACAGCCCCTAACACAAACCTCCCTGCCTGGGCTGGCTTGCTCAGGGTGGCTCCCGTGTTGATTCTCTGGGCAGCAACAGATCAGTCTCAGAGGGCATGAGAGGAAGATGCTGCCAGACACCGGGGGCAGGCTGCTGTTGAGGTCACTGAACCGTGTGTGTCTCAGCTGCAGCTGGGGGTCTGTGTCAGGCTCCTGTCAGATGTGACATGGCATAAGCCACAGGGAAAAGCAGAGGTGTTTGTTTGCTATCTGAGCTACCAAGCTCCACTGAAGAGTAACTAACTAGAAGCTCAACCTAATGTTTTATGCCTTAATATGTTCCCAATTACATTTACCCAGAACTATAGCCCTGTCTCAGGGTTGATTTGTGGCAGCATATTTTTGGAGGGTTTTTTTTTTAATCCTTGCTCTTGCACGCGCAGCACGATTAGCTCCTGCTATAAAGACTCCTTCACCCCCTGCCCACACTTCACTCTTCCCCTTTGTCTTGGCAGATGGCCCTCTTCTGGGTAAGGCCCAGCAACCCAATTTTTCCCTTCTTTGCTCAGGAGAAGGTTAGAGATGAAAATTTCAGTAATTTCATTAAAAATGTTGAAGTAAAATGGATGCTTGAAGAATTCTGTGGATGTAATTTACAAATAAAATATCTAAGTATGGGAGAATTACAGATCATAAAACCAATGCCGCACAAAATAGGATTAGGCTGTGCATAAAATAATAAACATCAGGTTTTACCCAGAAGGGTGAAAACTAAGTTTTCTATTATCAGCAGTAAAGGAAAACCAACAGGATACCTTCTTGAGGTTGATGTTAGTATGACAACCGGTCTACAGCTCATCATTTTAGGGGTGGCCATGCTGGTACTACAGGGGTTCAATAAGAACCTAGATGAAAATTCATGCATTTCTTGAGAAGAATGATGGAATATCAGAAACCTTGCTTGAACCAAAGTTTTTGCAGAGCTCCTGCAGCAGGCTTCACAGAATGGTGGTGCATCCAGCAGAACTCTTAGGTGTTCACTGGTACAAGTGCTAATAATCTTCCTGTCCACATTCACTTTGCATTGTATCCCGCCATCTACTCAACCCAATAGGGTTTATGAGAATTTGTAAAAGTTCATTCTGTTAATACCCTACAGCAGGAGTTACTTGAGAGAAAATAGTCATCCAGAGAGACCATGTAGTCAAGACAAACACCAGCAGGCAAAGCTGGAGCTGGGAAGATCAGAAGTCAACCCAGGAGGAGCTCAGGCCTGTGTCGCAGGCCTACACAATGAGTGACTAATTGATCGCTGCAAGAGAGCAGGCATCCAACATGGTGTTCTTCTTTTATCATCGTTTTGTCCCAAAAAGAAATAGCTGTGTAGGATTGTGCCTCAGACCCAATCAGCCAAGGCAATTCCGTGCATTGCCAGGATTCCAGTTATGTATCCTTCCCTGGCAGAATCTCTCTGTGGTGGCCCAACCCAGACAGTCTGGTGACACTCAAATTTAGAAAACTAGGAGCAGAAGCAAAAATATAGTTGAACTTCAATTCTAGTAAGCTACATATTCTTAATAATCAACTACGTGGAAGACTGCAATGTGTAATACAAAAACCATGTTTAAATACCTGTCATCTTGGACTCCTAAATGTGTACTATTCCTAATGTCGTATCAATTACTCTCTTTAAAATATTTTTAAAACTTAGCTGCATTAAATACATTATTATGGAAGAGAAATATGAAAAACATCTAGCTTCATATTTTAAGAAATAGTAAAAACAAGAACCAACTAAACACAAGTCTAACAATAAAACAAATGAAATTCTACACAAGAAATAATAGAAGAGTGATATCAAAGCAAAACCAGAGT